AAATGGTCCCTAAATTGATTTACCATATTTTCTCACCTACAACTACATTCAAAAACAGATACTTTCTCTTTAGAAAAATATGCTCATCAAGAGCAGATTATTGTCGTTATTACGTGCCCTTCAGTTGATTCCAATGCAGTGACCTCATGTGACAAGAGTGGACCGTGTAGCTGTTCCCAATCTTTAGCTTCCATAAATCAGCATGGTACTTAAAATAGTCAAATAAAAATAAAAAACTGACTCCAGCTAGCAGCTAAGATACTTATATTACACATCCAGCTCAAGCAAAACCTCAGTGTTGATCCTCCTGGATAACTTCAAATGTCTAATCATTTGAATTTTACCAGTGAGCCAACAATATTCAGTCTTGCTGTTTGGTCTACCCTCTAAGTTACTCATTCAATTGAAAAATGTTCTAATAAATTATTCTCATATAGTGTATAACTTTTGGATGGTGAAGTATATACTAACCTGTTATGTGAGATAAGCTGATCTGGAGGTAATCCAAGGCGAGTGAATCAATTATTGCTTGTACATTATGTGCGTCGTCCTCCAGACTCCTGGGAATGACTATGAGATCTGGAGGGGGAAAGTGACATTATTTTTGTACCTGTGAGGGTCCAAGCTTTTCTTTATGACCAGGCGCTTGATAGGAATGTAGGCTCTACACAAACAGAACTCAAAGTTAACAACTCAACTCATGGCGGTCAAGTCAGAACCCCTCATAGCTGACCCTCTAGCAGGTGTTCAGAGGCTGTTAATAACAAAGGAGGAGACCGCCTTTTTCCCTCAGGGCAGCTGGTGGATTTGAACTGCCTGCCTTAGGGTTGGCAGTACAACACTTACCCACTAGGCACCCAAATAGAATGAGATATAAAATCTAGATCAAATTCACAGAGCCTGAATTCTACACTGTAATATGTCGTTTTCTTCAACCATCATTCATACTCATAGACACATATACACACACCAACATGCTCTATAGCAAGCATCATGCTAACGAAAGATCTAAACCAAACAAAACTGGCTGTCAAATGAATACAGACTCATGGTGACCCCGGTGCTTCAGGAGAGAACTGTGCTCTCTAGGGTTTTCAGTGGCTCTAATCCTACCGAGCCAGATCACCAGCCCTTTCCTCCAGCTCAAACCACGAAGCTGTAGCTTAGTAGATGAGGACAAACTTTTTTGCACCACCCAGTTACCTTTACAAAAGATCAAAACAAAACCCCCAAACCCGCTGCTGTCCACTCTGACTCATGGCAACCCCATACATAGCACAAAGTGGTCCATTGGGATTACCTAGGTATAACTTTAAAAAAAAAAAAGTTTATGGAAGCGGATCACCAGATCGCCAGGCTGTGCACTGCTGGCGGGGGGGTAGGGACCCACCAACCATTAGGCTAGCAGTTTAGGCCAACCTGTGGCACCCAGGGACCTCATGGAAGGGACACTAAAAACCAAGCCCACTGCCTTCAAGTCCATTCTGACTCAGGACAACATTCCACGCGGTTTCTGATGCTGATTCACAATAGGGGTAGAGTGTTCTCTTTCTCACACAGAATGGCTGGTGGATTTGAACCACTAACATGCAGTTAGCAGTCCAACCACTATGCTCCTTTGTTGTTGTTAAGTGCCGTTGAGTCGCAGGCGACTCATAGCAACCCTATGAAGGAGAGTCCTCAATGCTTGTGATTCTCCTTTACAGAAGATAAAAAGATCCATACATTCAGAGAGATGCTAATCCTCAGATAAGGGCGGCCAGGCATGAGATGAAGCTTTAATCTCTCTGACTTCTTTCCCAGGACACCAGGAAAGAAACAGTGGCAGATGTTAAATGGAGAGAGATACTGTTGATGTTAAGTGCCCTGAGTCGACTCACAGCGAACCTATGAATGAAAGACCTGAACACTTGTATAACTTTCATTTCTCCAAGTTCATAGTGTTTCTGGAGGCAAGCTATTTCGGAAGTGGATGCCACTCCTACTTCAATTAAAAGACTTAATGGAAATTGCATTAGAAGCTTTCAAAAGCCAGTATTGACAAGAGTGTGGAAAGATTTCAATATCAAGTTAAGTTTGGAGTTCCATAGCTGGTATTGAGGAAGATGAAGTTCGGAGAGCAGGATAAAATAAATAAATAAATATATTTTAAGAGAGCTGGCTGAGATCAGTATCAGAGATCCCAGCTAGAGGTTATTCCATGGATCCAGGCTGGCCCATCAGCACTCATGGTAACAGTGGGAAAGGAGGGAGAGACAATGCAGCTCTTAGAGCTCATCACACTCACTGCTAATACCTGACTCTCCATTGCATTTCTGAGGCTGTGTGCCACAGTGGAGGAGACTGGCCATATTCCCCGTGGCGATGCTAGTGACTCCAATGGCCAGAAAGGTGTAGCCTCTGGGCGGCCACCAGAGCTTCCTCGCCATAATAATGCCGTGAAGTGCCGTCGCTGACGATGATTCATAGGGACCTTATGAACCCTGCCCTACCCTGTGCATCCTCATCACAGCTGACACATTGTCAGTTCATCTCATTGTAGGTCTTTCCGTCCACCATTCCAAGCATAATGTCCTTTCCCAAGAACTGGCCCCTCTTAATAATATGTCCAAAGTGTGTGAGATGAAATTTCCCTATCCTTGCCTCGAGGAGCACAATGGCTGCCCCTTTCCCACAACATAGTCCTTTTGGCAATCCCTGAGATACCTGCTCTCTCTTCCAGTAAAATTCAAAGGCACTGGCTCTTCTACTTTCATACTTATTCACTGTCCAACTTTCAGATGCATAGCAAGTAAATGAAAAGATCATGGTTTGGCCCAAGGACACTGCAGTCTTTAAACCGTTATTATCTTTGCTCTTCAGTACTCAGGAGAGATCCCTGACAGCAGATTTTACCTTCACAGTATGTCTTTTGATAGCCGGCCTGCTGGTGCCAAAGATGTTGATGTAGATCCAAGGAAGATGCAGTCCTTGACAATTTCTCTCTCTTCACCATCTATCATGATGTTGCCTGTTGGCCTGGTGGTAAGGATTTTTGTTTCAAAAAATCAATTTACTTCAAGGATACCATCCATAAGTCAAGCAAAACATCATTGCAAAGACAGGGGACAAAGGTCATTGCAAAGATAGGGGAGAAACACAAGACCAAAATGGATGTCAGGAGAGACTCTGAAAATAGCACTAGAACATTGAGAAGTCAAACAAAAGGAAGAACTGCTGAAGTAAAAAAGATAAACAGGAGATTTCAAAGGGCAGTATGAGAAGACTGTATAATGATTATAAAGCAAAGTAGTATGGAGTGTGCAAAGAGCTGAAGTCAGAAAACAAAAAGAGAAGAACTCATTTGCCATTTCTCAAGCTGAAAGAACTGAAAAACAAATTCAAGCTTTCAATTGCAATACTGAAGGATGCCATGGCAAAATCCTGAGTGCCAGGAAGCATCAAAAGAAGATGGAAGGAATATACTGAGACACTGTACCAAAAAGAATTGGTAGATGCAGAACCATTTCAGGAAGTAGTGTATGATCAAGAACCAAATGACGATAAAGGAAGGTGTTCAAGTTGCACTAAATGTATTAGAAGGAAAAAAAAGGTCCCAGGAACTGATGGTTACTAATCTGTTAAAATAAACAGCTGTAGCCCTAGATGTGCTCACCAATAATGACAACCACCTTTCCAGAGTAACTTTGTCCAAATCAGTTTGACTTGTCTTAAAAATCACTATTCAATCTAATTCTGCCATTTGAAAGTCACACCCTTTTTAAATATATATCTTCAAAGGTTCTAATCATGAGTCAAACTTGTTGGGCCTTGTTATTTAATTAATATTAGAAATGAGAACTGATGTTTGTTTTTTGTAACTAACTTGCAAAGAAGACAGTTAATAAATTCATAGGTTCTATCATTTTGAACAGGGAGCTCTGGAGACATAGTGGTAAGAACCTATGCTGCAATCCCAAAGGCATGTGGTTCAAGTCCACAGCTGCTTCTCAGGAAGATGGGCAATCTCTTCCCATGTGCTTTACTGCCTCTGAAATCTCTCTGCAAGGTCAGCTGTAAGCCAGTTCCAACTCAATGGCACATAAGAAGAGTTCTGACGGCCTAGTGAGTAAGGAATTGTGCTGCTTGCAAATCCAAAGGTTCAAATACATCAGCTGCTCTGAGGCAGAAGGATGGGCAATAACTTCCATGCCATGTATGGTCTCTGAAAAACTGCTATAAAGGTAGCTCAGTTAGTTCCAACTTGATAGCACAGAATAACATCATTATCTTGAAAAGAGCCTGAACGTGCAATGTATGTTGCTATCAAAGAAAGGCGATATATCTCTACTTCAATGGAGATTGTGGGCAGCTTCCTCCCATAAAGATGTATAATCTTGGAATTCCAATGGAGGGTCATTATGAACTGGAACTTATGAGTTGAAACCCACTATGAGTTGAAGGCACTGGGGTTTTCAGAAAATCTTGAATGTTGTGACTCTAGCTCATTTCTCCCAAAGATAACACTTCATTTTTGCTGTATTCCAGGTTAAATCTCACAGATTCCTGTTACCTCTTTATCTTCCAAAAAAGCCCAACCCACTGTCTTCGAGTTGATTCAGATTATGTCAACTCTCCATCAGTGTCTGGGGCTTTAAATCTTTACAGGAGAAGAGGGCCTCATCGCCTCTAATTTACAGCTTCTAAAAACTCGGTGGGGAGTCAGAAGTCAGTTCCAACTGGAAGGCAATGAAAGTTATTATGCATGGGTCTCTATGAAGGTCTCTATTATGCATGGGTACCTATTAAGGCAATGAGTGTGATATTTAACCAGAAATAAGATGAAGATAAAGAGAAAACAAGATTTTATAATTAGCAAGTCTTTCTCTTTTTCTTTTTTTTTTTTTAGCATTAGCAAGTGTCTTAACTGAAGACACTTGTAACTTGTGACCCAAACAACCCTCATTTTTACTATCCTTACCTGGTACCTTTTCTCCCAAAATAGATTGATAAAGAGCAATAAACACATTAGAGTCACAGTCTTCAAGGGCATGTATCCTCAGGTGTATATGACACTTCAGAAGAAGGTTGTTTGCAATGGTTACCCACTCTGTTGGGAAAGGAGGGGGAAAGATCAACTTCAGATAGCATTTACTTTTCAAAGCAATAAGCTTTCACTGAAACACAAAGTCTGTAGAAGATAAATTTATTACCTTCTAGAGAATTTCAAAGGCTTTCCTAGGTTATTTTAAAGAAATACTTGGGGGCTACCTTCAAGAACAAGCGATTTTGATGTTGTCAAACACTATGAGGCCTACCCAGCCTTTACTGCTGAAACATGAAATTGTGGGTTGTTTACCAGTACTTTTTATCTTAAAAGCCTTGTATAGATGTTTTCAGTTCAAATATATTTACAAGCAAATGGAAATATTATGTCACAGAAACTAATTAGGGGATGTTGTGTCAAATTCCCAGCAGTGCACACATGTTTTTACCCAATTCTCTTGAGCAAGCTGGAATCTTCCTGATGTCCAAATAGGTGATGATTAACTGAAGCTGTTATTGTTAGTTTTAAACAACTAAATTATATTCGATGTACATGGGGGGGGAAAAAAAACACATTATGAGAACTACGTTAAAAACAGCCCTGTGTTCACCACCTAAGCCTTGAACTCATTACCAATACGGTTGGGTATCACCTAGTCCTCCCTCAATTCACCTTCCTGGAAGTAGTTAAAAGATTTCTTGACCAAAGGTAATCTGGAAAGCTAATAAAATGATAAGCGTCCATCCAGAGAGCTGTATTAGTACACAAATGAAAACAAATTATTAAGGGGTTTGCAGTAGATCTTTCCCTGTCACTAGTTCTCCTTCAAAGCACACATTATCCTTTTTTCACGGTTGCAAAATCATGTCAACTGGCTGGTACGTTGTCTAGGGAGAAAAGGCTGAAAGCGTCCTAGACAACCAAATCGTCGTCCCGCAGCTAGGCACAGCCGGTAACTCCAGAGGGCACTGAAGAGGGAAAACGCCACTATTTAACACGAGTGGAGAGTTTGACAGATGCTAACGGGCGCTGCTCCCTAAAGCTTCAATATAAACGTAGCTACTGACTCAGTGTCCATATACTGCGAAGCTAGACGGTTTCAACAGCGGCCTCAGACCCCAGAGAAATGCAAGTCCCGGGGCGATTCTTTTCTAACTGCTGTTCTGCGATCTGCATGCGACCTGCATGCCGGAGTGGAGGCGGACTCCCCACTCCCCCAAGGGTCATTCTCCGGCTCCACTGCAAACCGCGGGCAGGACGGCCGTGAAGCGGGGAGCGGTAGACCCTGTCTACGGAGCACCGACTGCGACGGGGTCTCCGTCCTCGATCTCGGAGGCAGCCCAGACCCCAGATCAATGGGGCCCGAGGCCTCAGCAATTTAGGTGGGCAGGGACTTTCGGGGAGCCGGGCGCCAGCCCGCGACTCACCAGCCTCGGAGCCGGCCATGTCGCGGAGGCAGCTCGCCAGCCGGTTCCCAGGCGGGCGCGCGGTGGACGGTGTCCTGGAAGGGCCGCACAGCTCGCATACGGCGGCGGGAGGAGGGAGCCGCAAGGCGAGAGAGCGGCGGTCAGGAGGGAGGGACTTTGAAACGGCTTTTGGCCGCTGATTGGTTATGAGTACAGCACTTCCTTTTCACCGCATGAGCCGCGGCGGCGGTTTGCGAGATCCAGATACCATTCTCCGCGGGCAAAAGCCCGCTAAAAGGTACTCAGTCCGGGACTCTTGACAGGTCAGGTCAGCCCCCCTCTCTGACCGGTTTCCGGAGGGAATTAGAACAGCACTTCCGGGGTGCTATTTCGTTGTGTATCCCTCCGCCGACGCCAACTGGGAAGCTGGCCCGTCGAATCACCGGTGGGCGGGGGTGGCGGCCACGTGACGTTGCCAGGCTCCGCCTTCCGGAGGCACTTGGTTATGGGTGTGAGGGTTTTGTAGAGACGTAAACATCTGCGTGGGGGGCGGGGAAAGTGGGCTGGATTTGGAACAGGGTGGGGCGAATTGCTAGAATGAGAAAAAGGTAAACTTTATTAAGTTTATACATAAAGTATAGCATAGGGATATTCTAGTAGTGGGTCCCGATAAGGAAAAGGGGAAAAACGGATAGCCGCAAGGAACGGATGCGAGCGGCAGAGTGAGAACATGGCGGATTCCGGAACGCCCGCGGGCGTTGGGGCCTCTGCGCAAGGGCGGGGCGATTAGGTCATAGAGCGGTTCCCAGCATTCGTAGCGGCGGAGGGGGCGGTCCAGAGTATAAAAGCGGCTGCCGCACGGCAGCCGGCGCCTCATTCATTTCCATCGTTCTTCGGCTGCGCTGCCCACTTGCCGGCTGCCCGATTCAGCGTCTTATCTTTGCCGACTGAGCCGCCGCCGCCTCCGCAAGACTTCGCGGTCGCCACCCTTCGCGGCTCTTCGCGTCCGATTCTCTCTTCTTCCTTACGCACTAACCGCAACCATTGACGCCATGTCGAGTTATTCGAGTGACCGAGACCGCGGCCGGGATCGAGGGTAAGAACTGACCTGTCAGGTCCCTGCGGGTGGGGGATGGGAGAGTCAAGCAGAGGAGGGGGGGTGGGGGCACAGTTATTGGAAACATCTGCGTTCTCGGCGTCCGCTGGGCCCTCCTCGATCGAAGATGTGCGCCATTTTGATATTAATCCGAAAGCGATTAGTGGAGATTGGGTTTTTAGTATTGTTTGAGGTTACTTTTTTTTTTTTTTTTTTAGTGTATGTTTTCTGGGCCCTGGGCGATTCGGAGAATTGGGAGGGAGACGGAAAGGGGAAATTGGGAGGCAGACGAAGCAAAGGCCGCCTCCCGGGGGGGACCGTTTCCGTGACCCCCGGGCTCGGGTGGGGGCGAGGGCCCCCCCCCCCTTCCAACGCCATCGCGGCCGGCCGGTCCCGCCGGCTCCGGCCACCTGCGGCCGAGGCGCAGGGACAAAATGCCGGCCTCGGACATGGCGGCGGCGCCTTTGTTACCCCGCCCGGCGGAGCCGCTCAAGATGGCAGCGGCGAGAAAATGTGGCGCAGAGAGAAATGCGAGACAAAGAGGGAAGCGCCGCCCCAGCGGGAACGCCGCCCGAGCGGCTCCGCCCGGCCTGGGCTCCTCCCCCGGTCGGCGCCGGCTCCTCCTCCGCCGCCTTTTCCTCGGGTTATGTAACGTGGCTGCCGGGAACCGGGGTGCTTCCGCGGGGTGTCCCCGAGCCCACCCCTCCCCGCCACCCTGCTGTTCCTGGGTCGTCCATTTACTAAACGATCCAAGCTCCTTAAAAATGACCGTGGAAGCAGCGTCGTGGCTCACCTGTTCCCAGTGTCCCCGTGGCCACCCCCTTCTACCCCGTTGCTCTGCTTTTCCTTTTCCTGTGTTGTCCCCTTTATTTAAAAAAATAAAATAAAATCCAAATACCTTTGCCCAAAAATGACCATGGAAGCAGCATCGTGGCTCACCTGTTCAGTGTCCCTATGGCCACTCCCTTCTACCTGGTTAGTCCGCTTTTCCTGTGTTGTCCCTTAATAAAAAATAAAAAAAATCTAAGCACCTTTGCTCAAAAATGACAGTGGAAGCATCATCAGGCCTCACCTGTTAGTGCTGCTGACATTGTTAGTCTCCCAGACACTTAATTCCTAAGCTCTCGAGATAGACTATAGCTGTGATCCATTGTCCCTCCTTGTAATCTGATCTTGGAGGGGTTTGGGTACTGTGATAAATCCCTGGCTGCTTTCTTTCCTGGCCTTTTAATTGTGCGCACTTGGGGTGACAGAAATTGATAAGAAGATGTCGATTTAAAAAGAGTGCACATTACCTTAAGAGAGGGTTCTTTGACTGGAAAGCTGGGCTATGGGTGACAAGTGGCTGCCAAGCGGTGGAGAGTTGAAGATGTGAATGACACTTTGATTTCAGGTTTGGAGCACCTCGATTTGGAGGAAGTAGGGCAGGACCATTATCTGGAAAGAAGTTTGGAAACCCTGGAGAGAAGCTAGTTAAAAAGAAATGGAATCTTGATGAGCTGCCCAAATTTGAGAAGAATTTTTATCAAGAACACCCTGATTTGGCTAGGCGCACAGCGGTGAGTGATTGCATGTGACTGTATGAAGGTTTAATTCAGTTAAGGCTTCTATACAATCAAAATCTGATTGTCTTTTTCATGATTACGTTTATGGAGATTAGCTCTTTTTAAGTTTTTTCTCCTTGCGTTAGTTGGTATCAGTGTAATTGGAGGGGATAATACTTGGTAGGGTTTTGTGTGTAGGTAGGATTTTTCAAATTAAGGCCTCTTTAATGGGTCTGTCAGTTGCCTGTTTAGTTAAAAGATGATGTCAAGAGGCTGATGGTAGTTTCACAATTATTTTTACAGCAAGATGTGGAGACATACAGAAGAAGCAAGGAAGTTACAGTTAGAGGTCACAACTGCCCAAAACCGGTGTTGAATTTTTATGAGGCAAACTTCCCTGGTAAGTGGTCGTGGGGGTTTTTTTTGTTTGTTTGTTTTTGTGTGTGTGTGTGTGTGGTTCTTTTGGGGGGGGTTGGGTTGTTTTGTTGTTGTTTTTTTAAGTGGTCGTTTTGTACTCAGTGTTTTTCTTCTCATGGCATTTCCAAATTTTGGGAAATTGTTGTCATTACAGCAAATGTCATGGATGTGATTGCAAGACAGAATTTCACCGAACCTACTGCTATTCAAGCTCAGGGATGGCCAGTTGCTTTAAGTGGGTTGGATATGGTTGGAGTGGCACAGACTGGATCCGGGAAAACATTATCT